GGGGAAGGGAATTGAATGATGAGTATGTTATTTATTTGGACTTTAAGGGTACCATATTTTTGTGAATGGAACAAACACCTACACAATTGTGGTTATCACATGTGTCCCCCACCTCGCCATGACCACAATCCGACCGAGCTTGGACTTGGACCTTGGACTAAAAAAATATTATATTTTACCAACGGATTTTTAATCTAACTGCACTCCTTATGTTGTGAAAACTTTATCCTCTTAAAGTCAGGAGTTCAAATTTCCTTTCTCTTACACCTAAAAAAAAAACTCAAGGAAGGGAACCTATTTCATGTTAGCAAGGTATAACAATCAAGGTTTGAACTCGGCGAGAAATCTTTATTCACAGATAGAAGACATTCATTGCTAATATAATTTTTTTTTATACCAATTATTCTCCCTAACTGATACTTTAAGTCAACATTAAAAAAAAAAGCCAAAAAACAATTATCCCTAAACCCAAAGAACCATCAAGGATGATGAAAAGTTCAACTTACATGAAGTCGGGGACGGAGTTAGGAATTTCACTTAAGATGGGTCGTTAATTATATGTTCAATTTTTATGTCAATAAAAATAAGTTGATATGTTGATATTTATTTACAAAACCTGATCACATGCAAACAAAGGCTAATTACATGTAAATTCCTAATAATTTGATGTTCAAATTAAGAGCATAAGATTAAAAAAAAGTAAAAGATATACAAATCAACTGAATTGTAGAAACCCTAAAGAAAAAAAATAATGCTAATCATTCAGTTACAAACCAAACACAACTTATATTCCCAAAAAAAAAAACACCAATCAATAACAAAAGGATCATATAATTTTAATTGAAATTAAAAAATGACTGTGTATTCAAAATTTATTTGAACATGTTTGAATGGTGTCCATAATGTGGCCATAGACATTTAAGTATAGATCTATATGGAAATAATAGTGTGGACACCAAAACATATATTTGAGGGTAGGGATGGCAATGGACCGAGGAAAAACAGATATTCATCCAAATCCGTGATTGCAGGCCCTCCACTTATCAGGTTAGTCTCTCTCTCTATGTTATTTTTCTTTGTATCGTTAGGGCTATGAGAACATCCTTATCAACTCCAACCGTAAATCACCTCTATTAACTTGATAGCTAGGGTTTAGATTAGATTATTGCCCCTTCATTTTTCTCTCTCTTGGGCAAAGAACTTTTATTTCATACTCTCTCTTTCTATCTCTCTCAATTTCTCCTTTTTTTTCTCTTTGTGATTTGTTTTCGTCGATTCTTGGAATATAATCTATTGGAAATTAAATTGTATGATTTTTTTTTTCATTTTGAATTCACATATATACATGAGGTAATCTCTTCAATATAATTTGTCGTTAACTACTTAATTCAACTCAAGATTGTCATGCCCCCAAGGTGGTTGCGTCGTTTTGATGAACCATGTGCACCCCTTGTTAAGCAGAGAAACATTTCACTTGAGAAATGGTTGAAACGTTGAAGCATTAACCTTCTTTTATACATGTACCCATTTACAGGAACTATTGTGTGATCTAAGAGGTTCCAACACCTTTATCACCCAAAGATGAATACGAATAAAAACTTCCCTGAATTAGTTGAATAACTATGTAGTAGCTTCAAACAGTTTAATTTTTTGGGCTTGATGGCTTTTATTAATTTTAGTAAGCTTCGTAGTTCAATCTTTGGATAATCATAATGAACAGTTTATGAACCTGTTTCCAGTTGAACTGTTTGAATTTGGTTTAAGCCACTTCATAGACAGATCTATTGTAAATGGGTGTCGAATTCTTTTCTTATTCCTTGTATTAAATTTTGTTCCTTCTTCCTTCGTGGTACGATTCATGCAGATGGATTATATATGAACATCATTTTTTACCTCCTGCTAGCTACTTGACACTAATTCTGAATTTGTTTGCTTTTTCTTCTGTAATGCACTCTAGATTTTTTTTTTTTTTGCCCCCTCTTCCCCCTTCCTATGATTTTTTTATAAAGAAAATAGAAATTTTATAAACTAAAATAAAATCTTACAAGAGTCAAATAGGATTTAAGACTTAAATGGTTTTAATCCTTCAAAACAATACAAAGGAACAAACTATGTGTATGTATGTAGTTTAACCCATACTGTTCTATAACTATAACTCAGGAAGTCCATGGAAAGGATGGGGGGGGGAAGGGAAAATTAAATTTTATATTATATTATGTGAAAGTTGATTTTTATATGTTGTTGATTACAAGAAATGGAAAGAGAAGAAGTGAGAAATAATCTTACAACTCCTGAAACTTCTACAACACCGGGTGAAAGCAATCAACTTCCAATCTCTATCGATGAAGATCAATTTACCAACTCAATTCCAATGACTCTTGGTGGAAACAGATAGGCATAGATCAATTGTGTGAAATCATTTCAAGAGGAAAACAGTTGATGGGAAGTTAAAAACCGAGTGCAGTGAATGTAAGAAATTATTTGTTGGTAGTGCTAAGAATGGAACTAGTCACTTGCATGACCATCTTAAAAGTTGTCCGAGAAAGAAATATAAAAATTTGAAGCAATGTTTATTGGTATCAAACCAATCAAAGAAGAATACCGAGAAAATCTTGGAGAACCGACGATTTGTTCAAGAGGCGGGAAGGAGGGATCTTACCAATATGATTATATTGCATGAATACCCTCTTGGTATGATTATGCATCACGGGTTTCAAAAATATTGTCACACTCTTCAATCCATATTGAAAATGATATCTCGGAACACTTTCAGAAATGATATCCTTCAAATTTACAAAACCGAAAAAGAGAAAATAAAGGGTCTGTTTAGTTTGCATTTCAAAAAATAGTATCTTAAAATTATTTTTTGGAAGAGTTTTAAAAAATTTTAGATTACAAACTCTGTTTGATTATATATTTTTGAAAATAGTTTTAAAGAACAAAAATTATAAAATTTGTTTGGACAATAATCCACAATTCCCACCTCTCTTCAACTCTCTGTCTCTCTCTCTTTCACTGTGCATCAAGACCACCACCGACCCACAGCCACCACCCAAAACCCACAATCACCACCCAAATCGAGAACCACCACCAACCCACAACCACCACCAAAACTGATAACCACCACCCAAAATTCACAATCACCACCGAAACCCACGACCACCACTGAAACCCACAGCCATCACCTATGTTTTGAACCTAAGTGTAGGGAAAAAAAAGACACTGGAGAAGATGCCGGAGTTCTTGAAATGATCTGTGTTTCGTCTCTATTTCGTTTGGACAGTGTCATTGCACAGAGAGAGAGAGGGAGAGAGAAAGAGAGAGTGTGGAGATGGAGAAAGACGCAGGTGAGGACTTTTATACTTCAACCAAAAAAAATGTATTTTGTTGCTAAAAAAATTTGATGAGTGGACCTCATTAAAGAGGAGGGACTCTTTCCTTTGTTTTCTATTTTACCCTGAAAACTCAGAAAATATTATTTTTTTGTTCTCTAAAATCGCATCTCAATTCTCAAAATTTTCCAAAATTTGAAGAACAAAAAAACTAAACAAACAGGTTTTTGGTGTTTTTGAAATTTTGAGAACAAAAAATAGTTTTCGGAACGCAAACCAAACACGCCCAAAGTTTTTTTGGGGGGAGTAAAGTATGAATAATGCATTTTTTTTTTTGGTTAGGTTCATCTACTTCGACAGGCCTGAAGAGCTACACATCATTGAAAAATGTTGATATTGATGATGAAGTATATCATTTTAGTTGAAAATTTTTCTTTGAAAGAATCTAATAATTTTTTTTCTTTTAATGATATAAGAAAATGATGTTTAAGAAGTAGATTCTACCACCACCGATGGTGTTAAGAGATAATTGAGTTTGTAATTTTTTAATTTCAACCAATCAATTTTATTAGTAAATACAAAATATTTTTTATGCAATTATTATAATTTTTTATGCTTTATTTTCTTTATTAAATTATAGGTGTGAAGATCCCGCCGCCTTGTTAGTTTGTTGAATTTGTGATGTGGGTTATTAATATTATTTAGAGTGTATCAAGTAATTGTCATCAATTTTTGGGATGGAATGGTGAATGATCTCGTTTGGTGCGAGATATGGTCATTAGATGCATTTTATGATTACAGGGGTTTATTCTAGCTTCTAGGCCAGTCCGGGTTATATGCATTGCCAGTGTACTTAACAACTCTTTGATTTCTAGTTGTAATTAGATTTTTAATTTCTCATATTTGTGGAAAATTTTGAATTGGTTATATGGGTAATTGTTCGAATTTGTTCCCGCTCCCCTCTGATTCATATAGGAGAATGGCACTCAAAATTATGTTACATTATGTTTGTGTTAAATTATGTTACATTATTTAAAATGTTATTAAATTATTTAAAATGTTATATTTATTTTGAATTTTAGATTATGTTGACATGAACTTAGGCTTGGACAAGTACCAAGGGGTGGGGGTGAAGGCGGGTGGCCGGGACAGAAATTACAAATTTACCCACAAACAAGGATGTGAATGAAAACAATACCCGTTAACAGAGATAAATTGGAGATAGACGAAATTTTTTTAAACAGATACAGGGATAGAGACTATGCCTTCCACCCTCGCTTCAGTCTACTGACATCCCTAAATGTGTAATATAAGTATATACAAACATACATAAAAACAATTTCTTAAATTATTTGAAGGGAGAGGGGACCGGGGGGGGCCCACCCTGGGCCAAAGGTGGCTCCGCCCTTGAGGTGACAACCCTCAGCCAATAACACCCAAAAATCAAAGAGTTAACAAGCAGAAGGCAACCATTAGCATAGAGAAAAGGAAATGTACACCTTACACTCAGACATGTGTTGCTGGTTCCAGCAGAATCCATAATACAGCGTACAATTAACCGTGTGGAAGGAGAAGAATAATGGTTATGTGTTTGCAGCCAAACCGAAAGAGCTCCAAAAAAACCAATTTAAAAATGAGTTGTTTTCCCGCTGCTGTTTGGTCAACAATTTAAGGGCTGCATAGGTTCTTCAGGGCCTCTTCTTGGGCATACCAGCTCGGTATTATCTTTGAAAGATGGGGGAAAAGATCCTTGTAGGAATTTCTGATTGTCCCTTCTGCAACTCCAGTTGCAAGCGCAACGTCTATGAATGAAAACAGAGCACCGGCAACGAGTGAGTAATGTATAATATGTTGGATTGGTTTATTATAAAAAATGAAAGCCCGCATCGAAAGTAAATTGCAGAAAAATCAATAACCAGTTCACTCAAACAGCTGGATCAAACCAGCAACATAGGCATGTCAAGAACAAATAGACAAAAGGGCACAATCTTCAAATAAAAAGGTTCAAAATAGTCAAAACAAGCAGCTTAACGAAATTTCGCAGCAAATAATTTCTTGACCAGAACCCAACCATTAGTGGAAGTGCCTGCTATGAGTTCAGAAATGGTTCCAAGAACCCCATCTACAAATTGCAGCTCATAAAAAAACGTCTCAACCAATAAACTAGATGGTGTATTTTACCTTTGAGGGGCTTCTTATCATCTGAAAGCTGAGTCACAATGTAAATAACTGCTGCAGCAATAGATATAGGACTCCTCCTGTGATAACAAAAAGATGACAAGCTTAATTACTTCAGACAGTCATTCATCGACGAATACCCATCCACAGTGTAAGTCAAGCGATTCATCACATTTGTTAATAGTAGCTCCATGACAATTCCATGCTCAAGTAAGCTAACCAAATGATAAATCACAAGAGAAGTAAACTACGAAGTCCAGGGATTTACTACTTGAAACTGGATAGTAACCACTTTAGAACATTCCATGCACAACCGAATTTCTCATTAATATATTTTAAGGAGCTCTTTCTTGATATGAAAGGCTATTTTAGAGATGGTGTAATGGGTGGACTTCTAGGCTCTATATGCATATTTCATTTGGGGCTCCAATTTTTATGAACTTGGAGAAAAACCTCAAAAGTGGCCATTTAGATGTTGTGATTCAAATCTTGATGAACTATGCAATGATTCTTTTGTATGAACTTTACGAGATTTTTAACTATGCAGTGATTCTTTTGTATGAACTTTACAAGATTTTTCTTCAAAGGAATTTTCTTGTTTAGGAGCTTTAAAGGGCTATCTGTTTACTGTCTTTGTCTTGTATTTTGTGTTTTTGTTTTCAACTTTTGTCAAAAATGAAAAAAAAAATATGTTTGGATACTGCTTTTGTTTTTGTTTTATATTAGTTATTTGGAAACAAAAACAAAAAAATGAAAAAAAAAAATTTGTGTTCCAGGAAACACGCAAAACACAAAACACACGCTTCATGATTAAATGAGGTATCAACTTCAAGTCTTGTTAGCCACAAAAGACGAGTTCATTTCTCAAAGTATAAATAGGGGGTCTTTTTTCTGTCTTCTCCACTCTCATCAACTCTCTCTCTTCTCCAGAGCTCTCAACGACTCTCTTCTCCTCTCTCTCTCTCTCTCTCTCTCTCTCTCTCTCAACGATGAAGACGAATCGATGGTGCTCTGCCAACGAAGACGAACTGAAACCCACTGTCAATCTCTCTCTTTCTGTGATGGTGCTCTGCCTTCAAAGACGAACCGATGGTGCTCTGCCTACGAAGACGAACAGAAACCGATGGTTATCTCTTTCTGTCGATCTCTCTCTTGCTATGGATGTATGTATATAAAACTCTATATATACGTAGATCTATGTATATATATGCATATATATATACACAAATATGTATATATATGCATATATATACATAGATCTATGTATATACAACTTAGATCTATGTTTTTGTCTGTGTGTGTGTGTGTCGATTTGTGGGTGTGTGGGTGTGGGTGTGGGTGTGTGCGTGTGTGTCTCTGTCGATTTGCCTGTGTGGCTCGCCTCAGTCAAACCATTGAAAGCAACAATCTCACGTGTGTGTGTTTGATTTTGGGTATGGCTATGAATCTGCAATTATGGGTTTGAATTTGCATATTTGATTTTGGGTATGTCTGTCCTACAAATCTGAAGAACCATTATTGGCTGAAGCAATGGTTGTTGTGTTGAGCTTGTTGGATTCTTTTTGATCTTACAATGTATTCTTTTGCTATGGGACGAATGATCTCCAATTCTTTTATTTCAATTATTTCAGAAGATCAACCGTGTATGTGAATTTTGATGAATTAAGGAATTTTTGGATTTGTATGTTGTTGTATGAGATATTATAAAGCATATTTAGGATAAAATTGGAAGTAGTTATCAAACATATTTTTTGTTTTTATTCTCATAATTTGATAGACACAAATGACNTTTTGTGTTTTTGTTTTCAACTTTTGTCAAAAATGAAAAAAAAAATATGTTTGGATACTGCTTTTGTTTTTGTTTTATATTAGTTATTTGGAAACAAAAACAAAAAAATGAAAAAAAAAAATTTGTGTTCCAGGAAACACGCAAAACACAAAACACACGCTTCATGATTAAATGAGGTATCAACTTCAAGTCTTGTTAGCCACAAAAGACGAGTTCATTTCTCAAAGTATAAATAGGGGGTCTTTTTTCTGTCTTCTCCACTCTCATCAACTCTCTCTCTTCTCCAGAGCTCTCAACGACTCTCTTCTCCTCTCTCTCTCTCTCTCTCTCTCTCTCTCTCTCAACGATGAAGACGAATCGATGGTGCTCTGCCAACGAAGACGAACTGAAACCCACTGTCAATCTCTCTCTTTCTGTGATGGTGCTCTGCCTTCAAAGACGAACCGATGGTGCTCTGCCTACGAAGACGAACAGAAACCGATGGTTATCTCTTTCTGTCGATCTCTCTCTTGCTATGGATGTATGTATATAAAACTCTATATATACGTAGATCTATGTATATATATGCATATATATATACACAAATATGTATATATATGCATATATATACATAGATCTATGTATATACAACTTAGATCTATGTTTTTGTCTGTGTGTGTGTGTGTCGATTTGTGGGTGTGTGGGTGTGGGTGTGGGTGTGTGCGTGTGTGTCTCTGTCGATTTGCCTGTGTGGCTCGCCTCAGTCAAACCATTGAAAGCAACAATCTCACGTGTGTGTGTTTGATTTTGGGTATGGCTATGAATCTGCAATTATGGGTTTGAATTTGCATATTTGATTTTGGGTATGTCTGTCCTACAAATCTGAAGAACCATTATTGGCTGAAGCAATGGTTGTTGTGTTGAGCTTGTTGGATTCTTTTTGATCTTACAATGTATTCTTTTGCTATGGGACGAATGATCTCCAATTCTTTTATTTCAATTATTTCAGAAGATCAACCGTGTATGTGAATTTTGATGAATTAAGGAATTTTTGGATTTGTATGTTGTTGTATGAGATATTATAAAGCATATTTAGGATAAAATTGGAAGTAGTTATCAAACATATTTTTTGTTTTTATTCTCATAATTTGATAGACACAAATGACTCTCAAACATGTTTTCTGTTTCATTGTTTACCACAAAACAAAGACAAAAATTGTCTCTGTTTCTGATTTTTTTGAAGACGCGAAAACAAAAACGTTACTAAACAACCCCTTATTCTTTTGTTTCATTCTTATTCCATTCACTAATCGAATGCAGAACTTTAATTGTAGCTCTTTTAATTATACTAATCATTCCCTCCTAATGAACATAGTCTCAACTCTCAATTTCAGGTTTACACTTTACAAACCATAATTCCAAAGTATCATCTGGATCTTCTCAAGTATTGGTCGCATCTAAGGACTCTTCTTCATAATTTGTTTATTCATAACTGTAACTCATATTTTCAAGTGGTGAATACAAGATTCAAAGCATCGACCAATACTGACACGAGTTGGCCAAGTCCTATTCAACTCAGCTCCTTCTGAGTCAATACCAATATACGTTACGTATAAACTCAGCTACCCTGAGTCTCACACAACCGGGCTGAATTGTCTGAGTCAACCCGAGTTGCTGATTTATCGTCACCGAATCGGCCGATACCATTCGGTAACCTTGCAATATAATCTAAAATCTTGTTATGTTCAACGTTTTCTTTTAGGTCATATCGTCCAATACCGAGACACGACACCACGAACAATATGCCTTAAAGTCCTTTGAGTTGATAGCCGATATCGCAACCTTGAACCATGGGTGAATACCTTAGGGGATAAAGGTTGGCCACATAACATATATCTCTATATTATTAAAATACATATGTTAAGAGTTCTTATTTATTGTTAATCACATTGGGTAATATTGTAATTTACGCATATGCTATAAATAATAAGGTGTAGAGCAACATTAGCTCACACACATTATTTTTCTCAATCCCTCCCTCTCTATCTTCTCTTCCTTCTCTCCTTCCTAAAACTAAACCCTAATATTTGATTATTTGGATTTTAACTTGGTAACCATATTTGAATTTTTTCCCTTTTCCTTTCCTTTTTTTTGGTTCCTATTCTTTGTTCCCAGACAAAGACATGGTCGATGAGTGTATTGATGCCCTCCGGTTGTGAATAGTTGTTATGGGTGTTGCGTTTCACAATGAGCTGTGAAATTTGTTGACTAAAAGCGTGAGATGATTGGGTGTTGATTCAGGGTTGTTGATGTTCTTGGTTCGAAGGTGTCTTCTTGATTCTTTGTAGTTTGTTGAGTGGTGGTTGTTGTGTTACCTCATGGCCATCGTTATCGGATTTGGTTGCTAATGTCACCTGCATCTTACTAGAACAGTGTTTGTAGGGTTTTGATTGGCTGAAGAAAATGACCTCCTCTCGGGTCAAACCCAAAACCGAAGACCTAAGTCAATATTTGGGCTCATTTAAAAAAAAACAATCAGATTATTTTTGTCCAAGACTATCCCGGTTCAGTCCAGTTTAGGACCTGTTCAATTCGGTTCAGGTGAGTTCCTCCTCCGGTTCATCTCCTCCTCCCCCCTTTCTGGGCTGGCTATTTCCCCGACATTATTCTCACTATTGGTTCACACGAAACCAGTTCCGTTCAGAATATTTAAGCATTGGTTCAATCCGGTTCAGGGTATTTTCGATCTGGTTCAGTCCAGTTCTTGGTAATACAGCGTCGATCCAGGGTATTTCAAATCCGGTTTAGTCCGGTTCTAGGAAATGTAGCTTCAGTTCAGACCAGTTCATGGTCCTATAACACTGGTTTCTGGTTTCTGGTTTCTTGTTTATGTTGTGAGGTCTTCTCAGTGAGTGTTCTTAACCCATATTTGCATTCTAGGTTGTGATTTTACACTTTTGGAATTGATTTGGGTATTCTCAACTAGGGTTTGTGGTTGTGACTTTTGCTTGTGTGATTGTTGACCCTTGGTGGATTAATAGGTTGAGGGTAGTTTGTGAGCTTGCGGACCCTTGTGTTTTTTCACTAGGTTCAAGTTTAGTTCACTACAAGTTTTATTTATTTACTTTTATTTAGATGTCTCCTTTAACTGCTTTTAATTAACTGGCAGTCATATTTGAGTAGTTTCTTTTCCAGATAATTGTAAGAGGGATTTACATCAGATTCCTAACCTATGAACTAAAGTTTATGCTCCAAATTAGGGTTTTAATGTTTATTTGATTGTTTAAAAAAATTAAACTTTTGAAAACCTATTTGGTTTGCATACTTTCCAATTATCTATATACAATTGACTTTGATATAGATAGTCAGCGGTGTTTTCTACAACCTTTAGGATATTGATTCTTTCATCATAAATTATCTTTCGATTGCTATTTTTATTTCTTTCCAAAGTTTTCATTGAAAATCTTCCGTCTGTACTAGTTTGAGTACGAAAGCAAATGAATTATAGACTTAAAGTTGAAATTCTTATTCATGGGTGGGATGAAATCCGAAGATTATCGGGTTCTTTCTTTTATTGAATTTTACCTTTAATTTAGCTAGTTACCAAAATTCTCAACTTTCCAAGAACTCTTTATTTTTATTTTTATTTTTATTTCATCACTATTCGAATTTGTCCTTCGTTTTCCCTAATGATACGACCTCGATAATCGACCCCGACAGAGTTCCTAAAAGATACATTCCTGTACTTGGGAACACATATTTTACCCACTTCTAAGGTCAAGCAATAGCAAAGTTAAATTATCGAAAAAGTTGAAAGAAAACACATAGTTTAGAGCAAAACTTTTTATTCCTTTAGATTCTGGGTCTGAATATTCCTTTTTGGTTGAGCTTTTCTGAGTTCAAGGCTTTTTGGTGCTGTGATGGTACCTCTCTGACAAATACCTTGTTCTCTCTAAATCGTCTGATATTCACAAACAATGATAGAAACAGACTTCTTTTTTAATTAAGAGCAAGTACAAGGGAGCACACACAGAAGGGAGACAGAGAGAGAGATTCTTCTGATCAGGTGTGATTTTGATAACGAATGGCTATATTTTGGGTCCAATAATCACGACATGCCTGGACAAGATAATAGTGAGCCCACAACTGGACAGATCAAGCTAACAGGGAAGAACATTATCTAGATCCACCCATTTTGACATCCTTCTTCCAGTAAATAAAACAAAATCCCTTCTGAATGTCATAATTCATTTAAACCGTTTGAGCTTAACAATAATACTTTCTTATTTTAGTAACATGGAATGTACAGTTCTATAACCAGCTACCAATATATTAAAGACTCATCATATATGGGCTTCCTTTACTTTGATGAGAGCTACTCCTGAGCTTTTCCTACTCTTTTATACCCTTTCCACAAATTCAGTTTATGCATAACGACATATGAGAAAATCCAAATACCTTATATCAAACTCTTCCGACTTTTGGACAGATTCTTGGGCAGCTTTAACTGTTTGATTGGTCATCCCAAGATTTGAACAAAAGCGCCTCTAAAGAATAAAATTTATGTCAGTGGAAGAAGAGCAAGAAACAAGATAGATAATATGGGATATGAATGCTACCCCTTACCATAAAATCCCCAGCATGTATAGTTCCCATTTCTACCGACTGACCCATCTCAAGCTCTAGTTGTTTCACTATGTATTCTTTGGCTCGACCAATTTCCTTCTTCGTTGCTCCATTTGCAACAGAGCAAATTTCTATTTGAAACCCACAGATTTAGTGAAAGCTCATTCACATAGAGAGAAACAGGAAGCATCCGAATGTTAGAAATTCTTAGGTTGTACCCTTTACAGTGCGTGGCTTATCTTCTTGTCGACAAGCAATGTACAGGCAAGCAGCCAATATCGCATCTTGGTTTCTTCCTCTACTAGATTTTTGATCTTCCACCTTCTTGTATATCTCATTAGCCCGATCCTTCAAATCAAACAACAAAAGCACCATCAAGAATAGGTAGAACCACCACAAATGTGTGACATTAGAATTTAAAGAGGAAACAGAAAAAAGTCACCAAATCTATCTATTTTGGGGAAAATGAGCAGTGGCACCAGAATTCATCTACTGTATGGCATTCTCTGAACATAATTAACCAAAGGGACAACATTTGTATGGGGAAATTCGCATTAAATCCGATCACAAACAGAGAATATATATTTAGGAATACAAGCCAGGTCCTGAACAATCTCAAAGGCAACAAACAGTACAAATTTAAGAAATTCATGCATCTGAAGCTGCAGATGAGTTGAAGTAATTTGTAAGGAATATTGCCTGTAAAATAATGGAAAACTTGTTTCTTCCATCCACGAGATATTACCAAAAATGTCTTTGCACATACATAAAGATGATTCAAATCACCAGCCCATAGTTACAACAGATAAGAGTAAATATAATGGAACAACATCTATTTCAAAACATTTCAGTTGCGTACTTATAAACATAACATGGGTTGTTACCCTCCATCTGATGGGACTATTCTAGGTTATGGCCATTAGTTATGTATTATTACCACACCAAATCTAATGGAAAAGTTACTCCTGAACAAGATCCTGGTGGGTACATTTGCTCCTTTAGTAATATGTTGAAGTATGAGGTGTTCCAAAAGTTCAAAAACTAATTGACACATTTGACCCAAGAGGGGCTACCCTCGTTAAATTGACCTAGTTCCAAAAAGCTGTTGGCATTCGACATGAAATCAATGGTCAAATAACTGAATACGAGCAACATTTGCACTGGAGTGTTGTGAAATTAAAATCTCAACTGGCTACCGCTTCACCTCTTCCTCACTTTGTGAGTATAGATAACATGGTACCAACCAGATTACCATACCAGGATATTGTAGAATGTCCAATGATTCCTGTGCATGCAAAAAAATAGCAAGCCAGTCTGTGTTAACTAGAGGGACAACACAGCCTCATACCAGAAGCAATAAACTATTATCAACATGATAGTGCCGCAAAGACCTTGTATAAATGCTTACCTTTCTCAACAAATCTAACTAAACCAAACTGCCAGCTCCCCATAAAGAAAGGCTACCAATAATTTCAAATCCCCTTAGAAACAGGTAAGACAAAAATTTCAACTAAAGATAGATTTTTCAGGTAGAAAAGGAGATTAATCCCATACATGTACTACCATTGTGATCTCATTAAGCAGGCAAATAATACATTGCTGGTAAAAATTCCTCAATTCCATCCATTGATGCCACACATGCATAAGTCAAAACACTACCTTCACGGCTCACACGCACTTCACAATCACAACTACATAAAATGCAAAGAGTTATGCCTTCAACTAAGTAAACATTTGAAAAGCTGTGCATAGCTACAAGCTAAAATGTCACATAACTAAATATTGCAACAGTGAGTAAATGACATACCTTTATGGTTGCCACAAGCCCCAACCTGAAGGAAAAAATGGCTCCATTAGCAATTTTTTTCAAAACTCAAACCTCAAGATAATGTAGACATAACAAGATAAAAGGAAGAAGAAAGTACACATCTACACAAAACAAATCTCATTCCTAAATATGGGTATGAAAGCAAACAACATTGGTCAATAAAACCTACTGAACTAGCATATAAATTGATTCTAGGTGTGGTCGCCATGCATTCACCAATATTTTACTAAATTTGGGTGGAAAAACAACTAGTTGGTCAAACTCCTATTCAAATAAGGTGCCCAAATCAATTGGGCAATAATTTCAGATGTACAAACTGCAACTTACTCTTTGGGGCAGAAGGGAAAAGTGGTAAAAGGAAGGAAACCCTGTAAAAATTGAGCTGAAGGTTCTCCACCCCCAGCCAAAGAACATGGAAAGGAAGAAGAACCAAGATACTTGGAATGGCTACAGTTGTCAAATCTTTAACGCATCCACTCAAAGTAAATTTTCAATTAAAGATACCAACCTACCACCAAGAAGTCTCCTAATATCAAACTGAAAAACTGAGAATGCCAACATTCTGAGACATGCTTTCACAAATGAAGTTCTGTTTGGAAATGACAACAGACTTGTCAATGAGGAGCTTGAACACTGTTGTACCACCACATATCCATCTTCCAGGAAAATAATTTCCAAATTTTCTGGTTGGAGACTATTTATGCCCATGAGATACAGATAAACCTATTAATATTATTAACTGCAATTTTTTCAAATAATTCTCTATCTGTAAGTATATTGTGCATTTCCATTTAAGCAATTTGACAAATTGTGTAGAAGCACGATGACAACATAAAAGGAAATGTCTATAATCTGTATGTCCCATAAAGAGAATGACCTTGCACACTCTGACAAACTTTGAACTAATACCCATCACACATCACAGGCAAACCATGTCAAAATCATAGCAACTTGACGCCAACTGGTCAGCATCCGCTTAACCAAATAATTAGTTATGAGTTCAGCTCGAGTATAACTTCTCTATACAGAAGATAACAAAACTTACAAAAAGCACAGAATGATGCAATCCAGGGACCTATATAAGGAGATTTGCTAGCTTATAGTACAGAAATCCAAACCCTCTACCGACATTATGTTCCACCTTTGTACTCTACACATTCCAAATGATTCACAACAGAGAAAATATACACACCACCAAGCCCTTCTATTAATTGAACCCCTTGCACCAAACTCAACAGCTCACAAAGGGTCAACAGCATACTGCATAAGTGTTGCACTACAGGTGAATGCAACTGGCGGCAATTGAGGAAAATTTTCAGCAAACGGGCTACAAATAGTATCAACAAAGCCAGAATAATTGCCCTTAACAGAGATCTACTGCCAATACTAATAATTCCAGCATATCACTATCAGCAATGCCAAAAACTAAATCCAATGGCACATATAAAGTTAATTAAAAGCCGCTATAATGTAAATCCATCAACAACCAAACACTTATAGAGTCTTTATTGTATAGGATAACAGGTAACTGGCACCGAAGCTGAGCTCTAGGGCCTGTCTGCCATCAGGATAAGTAGGCAGCACACATTTTAACATGCTTTCATCAAAAGATCAAACTCTCTGCCACCACTCACCTTTAAGCATATCTCAGGCTACACAACCTTTCCTACTGTTCAGGTTGGATCCTTGGAGACAATTCAACTACTACTTTGAAACAACAAAGTCCAAACACCAAAAAGACATCACCAAACAAAAAAGCTCTGTCCCATCTGTAATCTTAAGGCCAGTGGAGGGATGCCAAATATCATCAAATCTAAGACACAAATCTAGCAAAAATGTAGTTACTTTGCTCTCTTTTTCTCTCTCTGAAATCTAAATTTACTTGATCACTAATGTCGTGCATACCCAGTCCATCCCTCCATGCACCCAATCCATCCCTCCATGCACCCCCAATGTCCCCGGACCAAACAGAGTAAGAAGGAAACCAATATCAAAAGAAAATTGGAGAACTACAGCACATAGACTTACACTAACAGTCAAGTAACCTCGCTACCACTACAATGAATTGTCCCAGCCGACAAAGGGGAAAACTAATCAAATCAGAAAGAATTCATTTCCGTAGCCCCCTCGTTTGGTTGCTAAATAAACACAACAAATTCTCATACATAATATATTCCGAAATAATAGGACAACAAGAAAGACCTCAAAACCCAGCTCAAACCCAGTCAAATTCAGGTAAAAATATCCCATTTTTCAGGTGTCCCCGTAGAGTACATAATTCAAAGATCCAAAATCTCGGATCATTCACTTACCTTCCCATTTTCCAGAATTTCTCACCAACCAAACAAAACCCTTATCCTAATCTACACAATTCATACCTTTATACACACACAAGCACAGGAATATCGAAAGATAGGGAGAGAACATCACACATACCTATCGGACATGGTGGCGATGGTCTTGAAAGCCAAGATTAGAGACCGATCGGGATTGGAACCACGATTTTGCCACCGACCCAACGACGACGACAAGAAATCACTGGTCGTCCCATTAGGCTTCGAAATCACGGTGGAAAGCCCACCATCTGTCAACAAAGGGTTGGTCGGGCCGCCAACACGGACTGGATCATTGTCTCCGGACTCATTCGCAAAAGTCCTCCACTCAGAAGTCTCGTCGATCGAGTGCGACTCCAACACGAGTCCGCACTCGGAACAAACCGTGTCACCCGCCGAGTGATCGAAAACTACCTCGGTGCTACGCTTACAGTCGGAACAATACGCGTCACCCATAAGAATTTCTCCGATTCAATGTGGACGATACGGTGTTCTATAGAGACAGAGTGTGAGTGTGTGCGTGTGAGATATAGAGAGAGAGGATCGGAGAAGGAATGGGGGGTGGGTAGGTTTTTGGTTGAGTTTTGTTTCCTTCTCCGATCGGTGTGACGGTGCAGACGGAAATGAGGTGATGGAAAGTCAAGTGAGGTATTTATAGAGGCAGGTGGTAGGAAAGTCATGTGGGTTTCATGGTCTGTGCTTAGTTGGACGCCAGGGATGTGTTTGTGCCTTGTCCTGACTATTTTAAATTAAAATCCATTAATCCATTAAAAAATCAATTAAATACGAGACAAAATTCTTAAATATATTTTATGGATGATACGACATAATATAAATTTTTTTTGTATAAAAAAGAGTAAGAAACTTACAGTATTAAGAGACCATCCCGATAAAATATATTTAAGATAATTTGAACACAATATAAACCCGATAAATAAATAAGACTCATTCTTAACTCTGGTTTTTTACCTAAATTATCAGCATGTTCAAACCTAATTTTACTTTTTATCTCGATTTCTAATTTATTTGTGAAAACTTCATTGTTTCTATGGAAGCATAATTTAAAACCCCTATTTTTTAATGTAAAAACTAAAGAAATATATTTAATGTATTTTGTAAATTCATTTTGGAAGTAAAAAAAATATAATTGTATGCTAGAAACAAACGTAATTTGAAAATAAATTAATAGGTATAGTAATGAAGAAATAAAATCCACACGTTTGACATGCAAGAGATATATATATATATATATATTAATATTCTTGTGAAGAAGTAAGAACATTATTACACCGAATGAGTTGGGTTGGAGAGATAGAGAAAACTAAGAGTGAATTATAAATTTAAACGCTTTGATTTTAAATTTGAGTAATTTTTTTGATTTTAAATTTGAGTAATTTTTTAGGATCAGATCATAAGATATTTATTCATCATAAATATTTTAATTTTGACGTGAATAATGTCTTTAATCGAATCAAAGAGATGATTAATCGAGCGAAATAAATGTAAGTTGGTTCGAATAATCCTGACTATTAAACCAAAAAAAATGATCGAAAGGGTAAGAGAGAAGTTTCGAACCAAACTCATGGGCTTGGTAAGCGTCCATACCAACTGAGCTGACCAATATCACCTCTAAGTGAGGTATTGGATTCCAAGTCCAGGTCCCACTTAACTATGGGCCAAAATCACCGTTATTAGTAGGAGCGTTCAAATTTATGATTAATTGTAATTTCTTATCTAGCCTTATTCTATTGATCAGTTAGTCAAAAAAATTGAAGAGGAATGCGAAATACTCATTAAATTTTCGCATTTCTATTCTATCTTATCCGCATAACTAAAAACCCTAATTTCCTAACGCCTTGTCGCCTTTTCAGGATCTCATTTGTCTCGCCTCCAGCTTCCTCATCTCGCCTCTCTTGCCATCTCGCTTCTCTCACCTCTCTCACCCTTTCTTTGAACACCCCAACTTGTTCAGTAGCTCGCCCTCTCTCGCATCACTGCTCTAGAGGTGTACATCATACCCTACATGTAGGAAATATATGATTTTTCATCTTCCTACTCAGTATTTTGTGAAAGAATTTTTTTTTGATTTATCCTACCAAATCAAGTGTAGTTTTTTACGCAAGTTACATGATTTATGGTAATTTATTGGAGCAGTTATGATTTTTGATGCGTTTCATACAGTTTAAACCAAAAATAATTGTTATTATATTTGTACAACAATTTTGATGGATTGATGTTTATGTCTTGGGCTTTTCTTGTGTTTTATTGTAATTGTTTTAGGTTTGAATATTATTGGTCTATTGTATTATTAAATTGAATTGTTAAAATGATACAAAAATTAATAACTACAAAATTTATTCACCTAATTTCCTACCCGATTAATTTGAATGAAAGTTGGGTGGAATACTATACTTGTGCATGTACAATAGGTTAAAAAAAAATTCTCCTGTAAAATATCGGATAAAAATATAAAAAATCATATTTTTTACCTATAAGATAAAGCGAACACCTCTAATTATGACCCATTAAGGGAGTGGATTGNGAATGAGTTGGGTTGGAGAGATAGAGAAAACTAAGAGTGAATTATAAATTTAAACGCTTTGATTTTAAATTTGAGTAATTTTTTTGATTTTAAATTTGAGTAATTTTTTAGGATCAGATCATAAGATATTTATTCATCATAAATATTTTAATTTTGACGTGAATAATGTCTTTAATCGAATCAAAGAGATGATTAATCGAGCGAAATAAATGTAAGTTGGTTCGAATAATCCTGACTATTAAACCAAAAAAAATGATCGAAAGGGTAAGAGAGAAGTTTCGAACCAAACTCATGGGCTTGGTAAGCGTCCATACCAACTGAGCTGACCAATATCACCTCTAAGTGAGGTATTGGATTCCAAGTCCAGGTCCCACTTAACTATGGGCCAAAATCACCGTTATTAGTAGGAGCGTTCAAATTTATGATTAATTGTAATTTCTTATCTAGCCTTATTCTATTGATCAGTTAGTCAAAAAAATTGAAGAGGAATGCGAAATACTCATTAAATTTTCGCATTTCTATTCTATCTTATCCGCATAACTAAAAACCCTAATTTCCTAACGCCTTGTCGCCTTTTCAGGATCTCATTTGTCTCGCCTCCAGCTTCCTCATCTCGCCTCTCTTGCCATCTCGCTTCTCTCACCTCTCTCACCCTTTCTTTGAACACCCCAACTTGTTCAGTAGCTCGCCCTCTCTCGCATCACTGCTCTAGAGGTGTACATCATACCCTACATGTAGGAAATATATGATTTTTCATCTTCCTACTCAGTATTTTGTGAAAGAATTTTTTTTTGATTTATCCTACCAAATCAAGTGTAGTTTTTTACGCAAGTTACATGATTTATGGTAATTTATTGGAGCAGTTATGATTTTTGATGCGTTTCATACAGTTTAAACCAAAAATAATTGTTATTATATTTGTACAACAATTTTGATGGATTGATGTTTATGTCTTGGGCTTTTCTTGTGTTTTATTGTAATTGTTTTAGGTTTGAATATTATTGGTCTATTGTATTATTAAATTGAATTGTTAAAATGATACAAAAATTAATAACTACAAAATTTATTCACCTAATTTCCTACCCGATTAATTTGAATGAAAGTTGGGTGGAATACTATACTTGTGCATGTACAATAGGTTAAAAAAAAATTCTCCTGTAAAATATCGGATAAAAATATAAAAAATCATATTTTTTACCTATAAGATAAAGCGAACACCTCTAATTATGACCCATTAAGGGAGTGGATTGTTAGGCCCAGTTATTGGACACCAGTTTAGGAAAGAAAGTCCTTTGTATTGTCTGGTTGTCAACCCCCAACCCCCAAGCGGAGGCAGGTATCCCATTTTACTTTATTTTTTTTTTATAGGGTGTGCACTCGCTCAAACTATTTTGTCGACCATTTTCTCTAGATTTGATCTGGCTATCGTAATTCGAATTAATTTAAAAATATAATTTATAAATAATAAAGGTGATTGACCCTTAGAGAGTATGAGAAATATTAAACATGAGATCTCTTACTTACAAGAAAACAGACTTGACTACTAGACCACCCATTATATTTCAACGTGTTGCCAAAAATTGAAGTTGGAGGGGTTTTGGATCCAAATATTCTTCAATATTTTTTTTAAATTTGTTTTAAAATTCCATTCAAGGAAACTTATACAAACAATAATTCATATACATCTCATTACTTATAAATTAATGTCTCAATTATTTATGATGGATGATTTATCGTTAAATAAAATTCAAAAAAAAAAGCATTGAAGCGTATCTCATTCCTCTTCAAAATTGTTATTATTGAGAAATATGGACCCCGAAAGCAAATTTGAATTCTTTTTTGATAACTTAGGGATTCGATTAATAATTGAGGAACTAAATTAGGATAATTTAAAGTTAAGGAACCAAATTGAAACCGAATGAAAAGTCTAAATACCAATTATAATTTTTACCCCTGTTTTTATCACTTACCCTTTATGTCTACACCTTCAAATTTATTCTTCTAATCTATTATGGGTGGAGTGCAATGGAGGATCACATTGAATTTATTGCATATCATAAATACGACGTAATTGAATAGGTTATTATAAATATGAAGGAACGAAAATCCAAGGAAAGAAAGAAGAACGCACCGAAATATAAATGTTGCACCAAAACTGGTGGTTGTTTATTATTATAAGTGAATGCAATGAAAAAACCCATAAATAACGAATAATGAAATAATTTAGATATTGACAATTTGTGCTTATTTCCAAATTTGTGCTTTGTTATTCCCATCATCTCGTAACCACAGAATGATCCACAAGAAAGGTAGTAAGATTCGAACTTATATCCGGACCTCCCTTGACCTGCTGTGTTGGGTGGCCGAGCCCGGGTTAGCACCAATAATATTATTAATTATTATTATTTTTAATTCTTAAGAGTTTTGAATATAGTAATTAGTGCCTTGTGAATCGTGCCTTAGCAGAGTATTTTTTTAATTTAACAACAAATTAATTATTGTGTTAATGTATGCCTGTTAAGAGTTTGGCTTGTTCAAAGAACAGTCGCCATTAGCAGCTCCTTGTGAAATGCAATATCGCACGCGCACCACAAGCTTTAAGATGCGAACGGGTCTTTTCCACCTCTTTGAACAAATCATCCCAACATCACTAACGATAAAATATTTAATGTAACAGTGATACGGAATCATAATCCGTTACATCAAATTCTATCACAAAGAATAGCTTTCACATTCAATAAATATCATATAGGATTAGTAGAGTTTATATATAAAATTTGTTTTTTTTTTATTATTTGTCAGTGATAATAATATTGTGTAACCGTTACATTTACATATTTACTTGACATGCACAAACATATTGTTTGATTTTTTCAATGATTTTTTTCCTCATTATTTTATATATAACTAATGGTTACTCTGTGCGATATAAAAAACTTACAATGTCTCTTTATTGTCAACCCAACACACCCTCGTCTATCCATATATATAGATAGATGGAAAAAAACCTTGCGCTCACTCTGTGCGATGGAAGAAACTTGCAATATCTCTTTATTGTCAACCCAATACACCCCCATCTATCTATCTATTCATATATAGATAGATGGAAGAAACTTGCAGCCACCGAGTCCAAATCACCCCATCTATCCATGAAAGAAACTTGCAATATCTTTTTATTGGCAACCTAACACACCCCATTTATCCATCCATCCATATATAGATAGCAATGTAATAGCTCTTAATGACCTCTAAACATTGAATCATAATTTCTTGAATTTTTGATTTGTTTATCGCTAAAAATGGTATGTGGTATATACTTATTAGCCTCCACTTAATAAAGAATTAATTTGTCTACAATTAACTATCATCATCTATATAAATTTACACGTTCACCATTTCTATCCAATTAAAATTTGTATTCTAGATAACAACCTTCTACCACTCACCAAGCAACTCCATTTTTCTCTCTCGCTCAACATTATAAAACCAATCATAAATTATTGGGTTCCTCGTGCGTTTGTTTAACGGAATAATGGTAAAAAAATGTAAGCAGTAAATTTTTTTCAAAATTTTCATATATTGCATTAGCATGAATGGAAAATGATGAAAAATAATAATTTGTTTTTATACTTAGATTTTCTCACAACTAATCATCTTTTTTTTTTTCTTGCAAAAAACAAAAGTAAAAACAAGAAAGTTGTGATTTATAATCAAACTTTCAATTTTATCCTTATTTTCTTTAAAATATTCAATTAGTTATTAATTTTTAAAAAAATTGATATAAGTTAGGCTAATTGTATAATTTCACCTGAAGATCTGGGTTCAAACTGATTCTTGTCCCATAATTAGGTTATGAATCACTATTTTTAAATTTAAATTATTATATACATATTTTATTCTTTAAACCAATTTAATGTAACTTTTCTTTCTTTTAAACAGTAGAATGAATTTTTTTTTAAACTTTCTTACAAATTTTTCATTCTAAGTGCTAACCAAATACATACATGAAAAAATATATTTTTTTCTTTCACTTCACTTTCACTTTTCATAATTTGTTTTTTCCTAACCAAACGAAAATGAAAAATTTTGTTTCTACTAGGATTGGTTGGTACAGTATCATTATTTATAATTTTGGTGGTTGTTTTTATAATTTTTGTGAGTGTTTTTGTGATAAAAATAGTTACCGTAAAAATACTCATAAAAATTATAAAAACACTACAAAAAGTTATAAATCACTCACAAAATTTACACATTTTTTTTTGTAAAATGACTTCCAAAATTATAAAAATACTTATTAAAATTATAAAATTTGAAAAAACATTACCAAAATTTAATTTTCGAAATCATAGTCTTCTCCTATTTTGTTTTGTGTTTGTATACTTTTTTTTTTTTTTGGGGGTCAAATTGTATATTTCAATCACAACCCTATTTCACTATCGCATTACTTCACAGGGAAAAAGTCAAAGATATCTGATATACACAATAGCTTCCAATTTTCGAATTTATTTGGTGGCAACGACCCTCAATAAGTACCACTCCAATTTAATATTTTTTATTTACTATAAAATGATTAATTAACTCTTTTAAAAGCTCTTAACATACAATTCAACAAAGTTTAATTAATGCCATTCAAGTTGCATCTTGTCATTATCATGTTCTTATTTTGTATTAATTATCATTATTCAACTTATGTAAAACATTGTGTTACGTGACTCAACAATTAGTTCCGTCTTTTATTAGTCACGATTTGCTCAGGTCAAAATAAAATCATTTATACGTTGTAATTTTATAAATATCAAAAAGAAAAAGAGAAAATAAAAAAGTCAAACATTTTCGCTATTGCTTTCGTGACTATCAAAATTTAGTTGGTATATCTGAATCGTATAATTAGTAAATTTAAATTAGACAAGTTTTTTTTTTGTGTGTGTGTGTGTGTTATAAAACGGAGCTATTTATTTTTTATACTAACCAAACTTATCCTTGATTGATTCCTTAAAAAATATATTAACCATTCATATCATTTTAACATTTATTTCTGATAATAATCAATTATCTTACCTGTTGACAAAAAATAAATATTTGAAGTCCACCAATGACTAGGGGTGCAATTCGGGCGGTTGGACAGCCAATCATAACTCAATTTTAGGTATATCATCTTTAATCCTAACTCTAACTCTAATCCTAACTCTAACTCTAACCCTAACCCTAACCTTAACCCTACCTCGGGTTGAGGGACTTAACCTGAGCACTGTTTAAGTTTAATTCGGGCGGGCTCGGGTTGAATTCGAGTTAATGATGTCGAGCTACTTTACGGGTTCAGTTCGGGTTGAATTAAGGGTTGAGTCCAAAATAAACTTGTTGTTTTAAAACTGATACATATATTACATAATATTCACTTAAATTAACAATCAACAACTTCAATCAAGTTTTTAACATATAAACCATAATATTAAGAATTCAATGTTTGAGATAATGCAACCACAACTATACAGAACACATATAAACACAACCAGAATTCTTGTACAAACATAGAGTTCACTGCATAAATAGTGAGTGAGGGATGTGCACAATGAAGACTTCAGAATATATTAACTCTAAACTTAAAAATGTATTTATATGGTTATCAATATTCGGGTTGAACCCAATTAAATTGGGTTCAACCCGATAACTCGAGGGGTAAATCTAAGGCCCTCCCCAAATTGAATTCGGGTTAAGATTTTTTTGATCCAAACTCAACCCAAGTATTAAAAAACTTTAATGTAAGTCCTAATTTTTTTAGATTGAATTCGAGTTAAAATTGAATTAACCCGTCCAAGTTGCACCCCTGCCCCTGCCCCTGCCCCTGCCCCTACCCCTACCCCTACCCCTACCCCTACCCCTGACCCTGTTAACACATTCCAACATTCTCCCCAACACCCTAGCTGCCCAAAAAAATTAACAGACAAAAAGGACACTCTGAGCCGAGAGTCTGCTCTCGGGGAAGGCTACCTATTGCAGTGGTAAAGTATCGAAGTGGAATTATAATTTTTTTAAAAATATAAGTTACAATTTATAAAAAATATAATTAATCATAAAAGATTGTAATCGATACCGAAAATTATAACTTGCAAAATTATGTGAAATTATAACTTATAAAGAATAAGTTATAATCATTCAAAAGAAACTCATGATCGATTGTTAGTATTTGTGATCGATCATGACTTTCTCTTGATCTTGTATTTTTTTTTAAAGGAGTAAATTTATTAAAGAAAATTATAACTTTTGTTATGATATCGAAATTTTTTATTTCCGGATCGTAGACTTTGCCTTGCTTTGGCCTATCTTGAAAATAAATGTACTCTCTCTCTCTCTCTCTTAAATTACATTCCATCAATATTGTAATTTGGTGTCACCGTCTAATGACAAAGTGAACCATGCAATCGTTATACTACATATTTATTCCTCTGTCTTGAGGGAGAAGCGTGGCAACCCAAGAAACACCACTCCTCAGAAAAACCTAGACGTGCCCGCTCTCTTTCTATCTCCTCCCATATTGGGAATAAATCTCTCTTCTTTTTCCATGTTGATACAAGTCTATACTCATTACCCTATCCTCTCTCTCTCTCTCTCTCTCTCTCTCTCTCTCTCTCTCTGAAGCTGTCTTGTGAGAGAAGGAAATGGTGAAGGTGCACTACAAGAGATATCATCAGTTGAGAAGATCACAAGAGGTTGAGTTTGATCAAGAAAAGGAGTCACTTGCTCTTGTGTTGTTCTGTGGGTACTCTGGTTATCACAAGAGAACCAGTACCAGACCAAAACTTTTCTCTCTCCTCCTCCTCTCCCTTCTCTGTTGCAGCTTGATTTTAGCTCCTCAGTTTATAACCTCCCTCTCAACTTTTTCACTGTTGTGTAATCCTCTCTCTCTCTCTCTCTCTGTTTGCTTTGTTTTTCGTATGTTTATGTCTCTTAACTATGGTTTCGGTTATTTATGTGTTTTTGTTTCTGGGTTTGCAGATTCATTTGAAACAGAAGATGAAGCCAATACTGCCAATGTAAATGCTTCCCTTTGTTCATCAGTCCCTAATGGTCTGTAGTCTGTCCTCTCCCGCTCTCTCCCTCTCTCGCTTGTGTATTTGATATTTATTCAAATAAATATTGCATGGCAATAAAAGTCTCTTTGTTTCTTCAATCTACATATTCTCTTTGTTTTAAGATTTTTTAAATTTAACCCTTGGTGATTTTTTTTTAACACCAAAACATCCACCATGATGATTCAAGGGTCCAATCACGGCACCGAAATGTATTTTTTCTCAGTATCGTACCTCCACTTTTCATCCACTACATATTTACATGTTAAGCTTTATTATTTTTTCATCCATAGTTCCAAATCATTCAAAATAAAAGAAAAGACGGATGGATTTCGATACGATACCGACTTCAATGTGTTGAGCTTACCTATGATTCAATATTGTGTTTTACATTCTTCAATCCTTTTTCTCCCTCTACTTTGTAGATTTAAAATGAATCATGGTGGGATAGGCAGAAGTTACACCCTTTTGCTTGCCAAAAAAAAAGTTACACCCTTTGACCTTTTACTATATTACTTCTGCCCTTTTTGTTGTGTGTTTGATCATGGATGGTATGGATACAAAGGGCATTAAGTGTCAGAAATGGGCCGGGCCAGGAGCCAGGCACAATTTTAGAAGCCCAAAGTCCATCGGGTATTCAGTCAACGGGCTTCCTTAGGGCCATCCAGGCCCAATAAAAGCTAACAGGCTGAATGACATTATGGGTTATGAGTTATGATCCTATTTATAAATATTATGAATGGCATTTTGTAAATAAATCATTTTTTTTAAAAAAAAATAGTTTAGATAAATATAATTATTTGTTTTTAAAGGTTTTATTTATTTTTTTCAAAAAGCAAACTGTTAGTGGGCTAGGCCATTGGGCATACAGGTTGGGCCTTCATTTTGGCCAGCCCATTGGGACACCAAACGAATGACTAATGGTTTATGTCCTATCAGCTGGGCTTATGGGGGGTACCCACGGCTTGCCATGTAACAAGTTGGGCTACCAATTAGCCCAGTGGGCCTTTAATCTACCAATCGGCCTGAGGATTTTACGATGACTCCTTAATCTGTAAATTATGTCAATAAATTATATTCAAATAATATTGTTTTCTTCAAAAAGGAAATTACATAGTAGGAACATAAATCACTCAAGCTAGTGGTCTAATTGTAAGTTGTACTCGTTTAGGGTCGATATTGACTTCTATCAAGTAAGGTTTGATTCACGGTACGGGAGTAATGCAATTTACTGTATTGAGATAACAAGCTGTCCTTTTTTGGGTTAGTAATTATGGCTAAAACTAGACATTTCATAATCGAGACCCTCATAGTCACGCTCAAAGGTTACTACCTGGTGGCCACCCCTCCTCCTTTCCAATAGCAACAACAGTAGGGACATATATGCCAATGGATTGTTGATTTTCCCTTCTCTTGTTTTCAAGTTTCTGACAGTATTTTGTGGACTAACATGCAGGCACCATATGTTGTGATAGAATCAGCATCCGCTCGGACATTTGTATCATGAAAGGGGATGTAAGAACACAATCTGCTTCATCCTCAATCTTTCTTCATACCTCAAACAACACAAATGGTGAAGAAGATGATGGAGGTGAAATCCAACACGAAACGATCAGGCCATACACCCGAAAATGGGAAACGAGTGTAATGCAAACCATTGATGAATTAAACCTCATTTCCAGGAACGCAAGTTTTGGTGTTGGACATCACTGTGATGTTCAACATGATGTTCCAGCAGTGTTTTTCTCCACAGGAGGTTATACGGGCAACGTTTACCACGAATTCAATGATGGGATTTTGCCTCTCTACATTACTTCTGAGCATTTGAACAAGAAGGTTGTGCTTGTTATTCTTGACTACCATGACTGGTGGTATACCAAGTATGCAGATGTTCTGTCACTTCTTTCGGATTATCCACCAGTCGAGTTTCATGGAGATAATAGAAGTCATTGCTTCCCAGAAGCCATTGTTGGTCTAAGGATCCATGATGAACTCACAGTGGATCCTTCTTTGATGAAAGGGAATAAGAACATTAGAGATTTTCGGGACCTGCTAGACCGAGCTTATAGGCCTCGCATTAGAACTGTAATACAACATGAGGAACATCAAGTCCAATTGAAAATGAAAGAGCACAAGATCTCAATTGAAAGAGCCAAAGAAAAGCAAGAATCAAAGAAACCAAAGCTAGTCATAATATCTCGAAGTGGTTCAAGAGTGATAACTAATCAAGATTCAGTGGTGAAAATGGCGCAACAAATTGGCTTTCGCGTGGAAGTTTTGAAGCCTAAGGCGAAAACAGAGTTGGCAAAGATTTATCAAGTTCTTAACTCGAGTGATGTGATGATTGGAGTCCATGGGGCTGCCATGACACATTTCCTCTTCATGAGGCCTGGCTCTGTATTCATCCAGGTGATACCCCTGGGAACTTCATGGCCAGCAGAGACTTATTATGGAGAACCAGCAGTGAAGCTTGGACTGAGGTACATTGGCTATGAAATTCTTCCAACAGAGAGCTCATTGTATGGTGAATATGATAAAGATGATCTTGTTCTATGCAATCCAAGTACTGTGACACAAAGAGGGTGGGAATTTACTAAGAAAATCTACCTTGATCGCCAAAATGTAAGGTTAAAGCTTAAAAGATTTGGGCAGCGATTGGTTCGTGCCTACGAGTACTCCATCGAGAGCAGGAACCAAAATTTGAAATTGTAGCTTGAAAAATTGTCCAAGTTAACTCCGAGGGTTAACTCAAGTGACAACAGGGATCAACTCTAAATTTAGATGTCTTGAATTCAAATTTTAATAATTTTTTTGAGTCAAAACATGAGAGATTTCTTCCTCATAAATACCCTGTTCTCGGTGTGGATGGTCTGTCTTTGACCAAACTGAGGAAGAGTTTAGTCGAGAAATACGTAAGCTGATCAAGACACGCTTGACTATTGAACCAAAAAAAAAAGAGGTTCTAAACAAGAATGTCGTACAAGCTAAATCATGAGTTGCATGGACTTGACTATGATATCGATAAAAAAAAATTGATATAATATCCCAAAAATTTACTATTTCAATAAATGTTCTTACAACTTTTGTGAGTCATTTTATAAAAAAAAAATATTACTTTTGTAGGTGATTTACTAATGTTGTGAGAATTTTTACTATTGTTATGAATATTTTTACCACTTTTTTTGATATTACAATAATAATAAAAATATTCATAAATGTGATAAATAAAGATATAGTACAGATTTTTTTTTTCCTGATACCATAGACAACTCCACATTGCATTCCCCAAAAGCTTTCCATAATTAGCATTAATTTGAGCATATTACACCTAAATTTTTATTCAATTTTGTTAAATAATCAATAAGTTACACAATATATTCATATTAGAAATAACTCGTGCCTGAAGACACAGTTCAATGTGAATTGTTTTGAAAGTGATGTTAATCACTATTAAATGAGAATATTTGAGACCGTCGATTAAACTTATTAAAATATATTCTGTTTTATATTATAGATATGTATATATAATTCGAATTGAATTATTATCTGATTTAATATCGATAAATCCAAATCCGAGTAAAAAAAATGTCAATCAATGAATTAAAATTCAATCCATTAACACAAATATAGAAATTCTTCTCATACTCCCAAAAATAACTTATACTCCTTGTTTAGCATTACCATAAATAGAGGAATTAAAAATGGCTTTTACTTGGTACATATTTGGTAAGTACGTGTTTGCCTATCCTACCATCTTGCTTAATATATCAATCACATCGAGCCAATTATCTATCAATTATGCAAACCATTTTGAATTTTATGGTTTCATCTAATTTAAGATTATTATTTGTTGAGCCAGAATTATGTAATCCGAATTCAAACCGAACTTATTAAAAATTAACTCCGACAATACTTGGGCTTTAATATTTCGGGTTAATGTCATGTTACGATTGAACATTTTATAGCACGATAATTAATGGTATACCATCCACCATGTATTAGATTTTAGTAACATGCCGAAATTGATCAAGAGTCGTTGCTTTTGGTTTGATTAATTTGCAACAATTGATTATAAAAATGATTAAATAATATATAAAATAATAAAAAAAATTACATGTATCAAAATTTTATTGGACAAAAAGTGAAGGTATTATTTCAAAAATTAATTTTTTGATACCACACCCGACCTCTCAAATAAACGCCTCGATGTAAATATCAACTTTTGTGGGATGTCAAATGTAACGTAAATCCAAACAATCTGTAAATTTAAACGTTCTGAGTTCAAATTTTGACAATTGCTTGAGGTCAAGCCACGAATAATTTATTTCTCATGAATACTCAAGTCCTAACATTGATAGTTTATTTTTAATTGAACTAAAAATGAGATTAGTCACGATACGAAAAAATTAACCCAGATATCCCCAACTATTGAATCAAAAAAAGTGTGTGTGGTAAACCATTTAATTTGTCGTTTACAAATCCAAACATGCCTTTAATGACAAACATCCTAAAAGTGGCAAAAACCCCGCCAACAAGTATTTGCCATTACCATATTAGGCTCTTGCTACAGATGGTAAACCCTTTATTTCCTTTCTGTATTTTCTTCCATATTTAGTTGTATTGTCCTTTGTTAGACTCAAAACAACTCAACCAAACCAAGAAACATAAATATAGTAGGCTCATTGCATTCTCTGCAAAAACCTCCATAAAAGAGAGAGAGAGAGAGAGAGAGAGGGAGAGAGAGAATGGGTAGGGGAAAGATTGAGATAAAGAAGATAGAGAATGTGAATAGCAGGCAGGTCACCTTCTCGAAACGGCGAGCCGGGTTGTTGAAGAAGGCAAAAGAGTTGGCGATTTTGTGTGATGCAGAGGTTGGTGTTATGATCTTTTCTAGCACTGGAAAGCTCTATGAATTTGCCAGCTCCCGGTATGTTCTTCTTGCTCAAGTTTTTTTTAATTTTTTTTTTATGTATAGCACCAAAAAGTTTGGAAAAAAGGGTATATGACGTTATTTTTTCATCCAATTTTCAAGAAAAATATTAGTATATGGTATTAATGAATATATACCATGTTGTTGGACCTTAAAGTTGCGGGTTTGAACCTCGTTATTTTGTAATAGTGAAAAATCTTAAGTGACATTTGACTCACTGAATCATATGAGTTGATGCAAAATAAGTAAAATAGTTACAAAATATTAAAAATAGCTGTTAAAAGACACTTAAGTGAGGAAAGTAAATCTTGGTTACATGGCCTTAAGGCAATTCAAGGATATTTTGATAATCACTCAGAGAGTCCTAAAATACAAAGGAGGGGGAAAAAGATAAAAAGTATTCCACCCAAATATTTTAAGTCAAGGGCGGATCGATACAAATTGAGGCATAAAGCGACAAATATGAGTGAAAGTTTTTAATTTTTTAAATACTAATTTAATATTTCTAAAAAAAATTCTCTCCTTAGAACATTGTGAAAGTACTAGATTCTCAATTTAGTCATATTTTCAGAGATTTTTTTTCCATTTTTTTCAGTTTATGTGTTCTTTGGTCATAGAAAAATACACAAATTCATCATTTAATATGCCTATGCATTTGCTGTATTCAATTTTGGGCAAGAGATTTTCAACTATATGGGCCAGCCAATCCACTGTCTAGGACGGGCCAACTTGCTAAACAGGGTCACATGACATGGGTCAATCAGGCCGAAACCAGCTTGATGACTTTTATCAAATTTTCCTAGCCCAATTTAGCCAACTTGAGTGTACCTAGCAAAGATATATGTTGCCACGGGCTCAAAACATAATAAAAGCTTTTTAAACATTTGGCTCTCAAATTTCCTACCCACAAATGGAAGGCTTTCCCCCCAACGGGTAAGGAGTGCTTTGATCACGTTCTGACAGAGATTTCACATCTAGTCGCCTTATACCTTTTTTCAAAATCAAACAAACACATTTTGGCACCTAATGTGCATTGTTCACCTAGCCCGTCAGTAGATGCGGTTGCTTTTGTTGTTTTCTTTTCTCTAAATTTTTAAGCGAAGTTGGAAATTCTAGATAAGGCATGCAAGCCCGATACAAAAGTAATAGTGACTTTGAATTTAACTTTAGCAGGTTTGAATGATAATTCATTCATTTACAAAGAGAATTGGGGATCAGTTTCAAATCATTATGAGTTTTAAATATAAGATTTAAACTTGATTCACTTGTACAAATAATTATAATAAGACATTTGTTCTTGAATCTATACGAGCCAAACAAGCCATAGCTCATGCTCGGCTTGAGCTCGGCCAACTCGACTCGCTTGTCATCGAACGAGTTTTAGCATTGAACTTGGTTAGATTCATTTAGTAAATGAGCTTTAGTCAGCCATCATCTTTTATGTTTCTAACATTTTTACATGCATTAATGCTTTTAATTTCTATTTATCCAAACTAGCCTTCTTGCTTACATATAACCCTTTCCTTTTGAAGCATGGAGCAAATTCTTGCCAGATATAAGGAGGGGCCAGAATCTTCAGAACTTGCTTCAATTGAGAATGTAATGGAGGTACTCCGTGACATGTTGATTTGTTCTATAAATTGAATAGATTCATAGATAAACAACTATATTTTTATCCCCCATTTGTGCCCCTCCTTCACATTATCCTCGCAACTGTCACTTTTTTCATATTTCACCTCCAACTATCACATATCTCATAATGTATCTCTAGCTCTGATTATTAGTTTCACATACTTCAATTACAAATGCTAATAGCGTGTCTTTACAACATATGCGATCTGTTGGAAATACGAATCTAAAAAATAAAATGAACGACAGGGTGAAACGCAAATTAGTCGTTTTTTTAAGACGATTCGCGCCCCTTTATAGAAGAAACATGATGCAGAAGGTAACCATGCGTCGTTCACATGATACAACAATCCAACCTAATTGATTGTAGCTTTACTCTGATCTACACAATCGAACAAAGAAGAAGTTTTACAAAACACTTTTCTAATTTGCCCAAAAAACTGATACAATAAACAAAGAAAATAAAAAGAATTGGAAGTGAATAGTTTTGGCATAAACATTTAATTATATATTGTAAAGATAACAATTGAAATATTATTATATTTATGCCTAAAAAAAAAATATGACTATTGAGAAGTTGTTGTTAGACCCTTGAAATTTAGAAATAAATTTTTAATGAGGAAGTTGTTATGTAAAATAATAAAAATGAACTAAAAAGTGGCTTTGACAATAGTTAATATTTATTCTGGTGGGCCCCACTACACAGTGTGCGTAAACTCGTATCTCCTCCGTTGGTCCCACTCCGGTGCGTATGAGAATTTCAAGGTCTTGTTTAACTCAATGACTAAGTAGCACTAGTATATTGTATGAACTCAAGTTCTTTTTAAAAATTTAGTCAATATGAGATTGATTTTTCCTCTATAAAGTACTCATTTTATTAAAATACTATTACACAATCATTTTCTATTCAAAACATAACAGATATTTAGTTGTGGAGAAATGTGAAATGAATTCAAGTAATTGAAACGACAATGTGAAACACTTGGCAGTTGGGGAACCAAAGTGTGATCAGAGTGATAGTGGAGAATGTCAAACATCAAAGTATAATTTGTCCTAAATAAAACCCTAGTGTTCAATGTTTCAAACAGCAGATTGGAATAGAATTGGCGGGTCTGCAAGGGACTAAGTCAGTTCAAAATGGATAGCTGTGTCATTATGTGCCTTGCCAACCCATGAACAGTGAAAAATCAATATATGTTTTGAGAATTTATTGGAAAATAAATAGGAAAAGTATTTACCTTTGTATATTTCGATCAATGTCTCTTTTTAATCTTGTTTGTGTTACTCAAGCAGGAATCGGAGCCTGAGGTAAATGCTTTAAAAGATGAAGTCGCCAAGTTATGGAAGGCGCACCGGTACGTGTTTCTTTTGGATCATTTCATCTTCGTCTTTTGCTCTTTATTAGAGTTTTAATGAAATTGATTCAGTAATACTTTGTAAACTAATATATGAGTCATACGATTTTTACTATTCGGTGTCAATTAGTTTTGATATGAATACTCTAACATAGTATCATAGTGAAACTTGAAAAAGTTGCGAGCACGTTTTTATATTTTAATGTCATTAATTTCCTGCATGAAATTGCCATGTGAGTATCTTCACCTAATACGAATTGGTTCTAAATTGTATATTTCTTACGTTTCTCAATGTCAAATGTTACTCTGAAAAAAAAATAAAATATTCAAAGCCATGCGTCCTGGTTTATGAAAAACAAAAATTACTCCCTTTTAATTTTCTTATTATTCAAAACACAAAAATACGAGAGCGTGTTACAATGGATTCAACTTTTCATAAATAAATTTAAGTGACAAAACCTGAGAAGTTCAGTGTAAGCATGAAGTTGCATAAATAATTAACCTTGAAACATTTTGTAAAAAGTTGTATGCAAGCGGACTTTATGTCATACAAAGTTCTTTTATGTATTTATTGACTTCTTAATTGATTACTTCTTTAATATTTCTTGTTTTTTTGATTCTAAAGGCGGATGATGGGCATGGAACTAGAAGGCTTGAGCTTCGAGGAGTTGCAGAACTTGGAGCATCAATTACATGAAGGGATTCTATCTGTTAAGGATAGGAAGGTACTGAAATAAAAAACCGAACCTGACATGAAACAACCCGTTTCCAACCCTTTTGTCCTCCAACTGATATTTCCCAACTAAGTGTTGAGTATTTTCTAAATCCGAAATTTAAACACCGAGTTAAATCACAATTACCCTTATCTTTAACCCAACTTTTCGGTATGAAAAATGTGTTTAGAGGACATGACCAAGGGTTCTTATTCTTTCAGGAGCAAGTACTGCTGGAGCAGCTTGAGAAATCAAGATTGCAGGTAATATTTTGTGTAATATCGATTAAAAATGTGTCAAGAATCATTTGGTTACACTTCCCAAGTTTTCTTTGAAATGCAACATGAAAATTTTAGTAAGTCTTACTTCCGTTGTCTGGAAATGTTGATTCTCCGATTTAAATCTGAAAGCAGCCAATTATCTGACCTATACACCTTTATAGATAAAAGTTTTGTGAACTAAGAGCAACTTTTTTTCCCTCAAAAAAATGCTTATCTCGATGTAACGCCTTACCATTCATTTTGGTGGACTATATTTGTCTATGTAGGAACAAAAGGTATTGCTGGAAAATGAAGCTTTGCGTGAACAGGTAAAGCAAAATCTGGACCAATGCTTCAAATACTGCTTTCTAATTCTGAATTTTATTGTCAAAGTCATTACAATGTATGAGCAAAAAGCAGATTAACAGACTATGGTCTAACATTTTTCTCTCAAAATATGTGTAGATTGAGGAGCTTCGACGCAGTTCAACACCATATCGTGAGCACCTTACTATTGCAAAAAAGAATTCTATTGCAAGTTTAAGTGTGATTTCTAATAGCATATTGGAGAGAGGAGATTCTGATACTTCATTACGCTTAGGGTATGTGTGATTAGTCTTTTACTATTTTTTTTTTAATTATGTATTAATATTTTCTACAATTTTTGAGGCACGCATGATGGGAAATTTGATGGGAAACACACAGGATAACCCAACATTTAAAAACCAACCCAAACACGAATTCAAAAGGGTCTAAATCATTCTATAACCGACAAAAAAAAAAAATAAAGTCACCCATATACATTTGAATTGCTCAATAGTGCTCGACTTTGTATTAATGTAGCATCTAGTCTAATTCATATCTATATGCTTAACAGGCTTTCAAGAGATTATTATCACAAGCGAAAAATACCCAAGATTGAATCTTCCTCCAGTGATTCGGGTGATAAAGTGGGCTCGCAGTGATAGTTTTTTCAAAAATTTCTTTCTTAGTATTGATTGTTGTTCAAGTGTTTCTAATTAAGATGTATATCAAAGTAATTCTTGGCTAAATGGTTGTTGCGAGTGCATGATGCATAGAGCTTGCGAAAGCTAGTACAAATTGACTGAATGAAGCACGAGGACATAGTTTATGCGACTTACATGATTTCATTCAACTTTTTTTTTTTTTGAATTGCTTAAAACCTACACGAGTGCAGACAACTTTATTGAGCAATTTAAAGCATATAAGTGACATATTTTAGCATGTGTAGAAGAACCCCTTCTATATTTATTTGTATTAGTTCTATTGTTGACTATGCATCACACTGTATGGCTTTTTTGATTACTTTTTTTTTGGTCATACATAATTACGGAAGAGTGGAAAGGGTGAGAAAGAGACTTGAATCATCAACATCTAGGTCGTATAGTGGGGAGAACTCACCCACTGTAATAGGGTGTAGAGCTTCGAAGAGAGTGGAGAGTTTTGCCGATTGATAGCCTCGTAGCTCCCACAGTCGTAGATCCCACAGAGAGAGAGAGAGAGAGAGAGAGAGAAAGAGAGTTTTTTGTTTTATATATGTGCCACATAAATGTCCAATTTTTTGCTTTTAATGAAAGTCGAAGACTGGACCTCATTAAAAGTCTCCCTTAACCCACATGTTTTCTTTTTCTATGTTTTAAAAAACATCTTCTTTTTTATTTTTAAAAGTCACCATTGTTTTCAAAACAACTCGGCCAAAAAAAAAACGTAAACATAAACCCAACGTATTATTATTTTTAATTTTAACAAAAACTTAAAAAAAAAACACAAACACATGGACATGGTTACCAAATACACACTAAAATAGATGTTTATTCACCGAATCAAGTCTCTTTTAAATATATGTTTTTCATATTTTTTTTTTCTTGATAAATTATCTATCATTAATTCGTGTGAGACTTATTATATAATGGTATTCTTCATAATACATGTCAAGTAATTTATTAAAAAAATAAATAACAGCAGTGAGTCGGACCTAGATTTATGGCAAACCAATGGGATTGGGAATGTAATCTGCGGGAACCACAACTATGGTTGGGGGTGGATAAGTATTGATTGCATATCACCCTTGGCTTAGTTTAGAGGTAGGTGGTAGAAGTCAGATTTTCGGCTTTTATATATTTGAATTTATGGAGCGTGATGATTGACTAATTTTTTTCGAAGTTATTTTTTTATTTATTTTAATTAACTTAACCCATAGTTTGTTTTCATATATAGGACTTATTAATGTTATCTCCTTCATAAAAGATTCGACCACTATGGCCCAGAGCAGTTGCTAAATAGTCGAGACATTTGGTGAGAAAGGAGACTAGTCGAGGTGACTATAAATTGATTTGGATACTCTTGACCATTGAATATCCCGATAAATTTTTACTAATGGAATCATGGAATCCTTTACCGTATCCGTTATTATTCTTAAAAATAACCTAGTTAGACTAGTATAACAGTCAATCATCGAATCCCATTGTAGATTCTAAGATTTGAATCTCTAACCTCGGAATAAGAAATTCGGCCGGTACCTCACTGGACTTAGTTTATTATATTGATTCACATTGACACACCTACCCATACGAAAATAAATAAATAAATAATTTATTTATTTTAACCCCTACAGTTTTTCATAATCGTGGCAAAAAATAAGTCACATATCAATTTTGGGTCCCATTTCCAACCTCTAATTCTTTTAATTTTCCTTTTTCTTTTCTATAATTATCGAAACTAATCTCTTATTAAATATTGTTTTACTCTTAAATAATGTAGATGGTGATATATGAAAAACTGACATACGCCCAATGGAAAGGAGTCTCGTGTCTGCTAATGGTTGTTGTAAACTCCACGTGGCAGAGGATGCCAAATTGCCAATCAATCTCAGCCGTCGCTATTGTTAGGCCACCAATAAGATTGGCCATAGACCCCCCCGATGCATGCCCTGTTTGGAATCGTCCCAAAATTAATTTAAGAAACACGAGTTATAAACTTATAATAATAAGCATGGTCAAGTATTTTAAAGTTTTTTTTGTAACCCATCCAAACAGATCGCGACGATACCCCTGAAGAGAAAAAAAAAGGGATTGGGACAAAGTGGCATCTTTTCTTTTCTTTTTTTTTAATCAGAGAAAAAAGGAAGAGGAACGTTGAATAGGTTATAACCTCGGGACGTGAACATGAGAAATTCTTACTATAAAATGTTCGATTTATATTGTAACTATTAATTCACATTATTTCTATGACTTAAATTATATTTGATAACTATAAGAGAATTAAAGTGGATTTTAATCAGATACGATTTATCGCTGAATCAACTGTTTGTACAGGTATCAATCGTGTCGTGTCGTATCAGTTTCGTGTTGTGTTATTTTCGATCGTGTAATTTTCGTGTCGTATCACTTTCGGTACATGTCAGATTCGTGTTATTAAAAAATTATTTAATTTGACAACAACTAATATAATACTATTTAAAAAATTATAAAATTCTTATTTTCTATATACAATACTCGTTAAATAATTATTTTTTATCTACTATACCCATTAATCGTGTTATTCGTATCGAACTTTAAGTTAAACCATTTATTACTCATATCAAACTAATCATTTTATTTTTAAATTTATATCGATTTCGATTCGAATCCACTTCTTGTTCGGATCAAAAATTGACACCCTAACTGTTTGGGTGGACATCAAAGTGGCATGAAATGCACATGATTTTGCATTGACCTTCAAAATCGTGCTGGTCACCGGCTTGTCACTCTCAAGTGTTTGACCCCACCACTTTGGATTGATATCCCACGCGATCTAAGGGCGTGTGAGCCTCCCAATCCTCTATTCTGTATGATGTTAACATTTAAATATTAAAGCATGTTTCTTTGTTTGCCAAGTACAACAAACCGCTGGTAATAAAATTTGGAGAATTAATCATGTCATAGAGGGAGTGAGATCCCACAATTTTTTTTTTATCTATTTTCCTTTTTTTTTTATGAATTATTTACCTTAAATTCAACTAAAATATATTCTATATGAGTTGATTACTTATTAATATACTAGACATATCCCATGCTTAAAGGTATGATAAAATATAAAATTTGAGCGTCTAAAAAATCAATCTCACTATATTAAATAACATTTTATCTTTTCTTCATTTTTTATTACATTATTTAAAATTTATTTTTACCCATTATTTTATTAAAAATATCGATAAAATTTTCTCAAAATATATTTCGATAAATTTTTCTCAACATGTGTATAATATTTGAAATAAAAATTATATTAAATTATAAATTAATCAAATATTAAATAATTGAATATGTGATAAAAATAGGTGATTTTATTTTTTTGAGGGATAAAAATTTAAGTTACTAGTTATTTTGTTATATAAATTACGAGTGATTTGCCAAGAAAAAATGAATAATAAAATGTGCATTTTTTTTCAAGAATATACGATTAAGGGTGTATCTTTTTTCGAGGATAAAGTAGTGGAATTGGATTAATTCTATCCAAAACTTAACTCATTAAAAATACGGGATTGACAAAATAAGTATATTTCATGGGGGTAAAATTGAAAATATGCGGGCAAGATCAGATTACTTGGAAAAAGAAGATTAATTCATCATCCAAAAATTAAATTCAAACGATTATATGCTGGAATATTTGATTTTTATTAAATCAAGAACGATTCACAAATTAAGGAATCAAAAAGATCAAGAGTTATTTCAATTTAAGATGATTCGGGGGTGACAGATTTGGAACATATTTTAAGTATTCTTTTATAACGGCTCTTTAATTCTATCAATATTTTCAAAGGTTATATTTCTTTGACCAAGAATTTTCAAGGATAACAATTCCAAATCATCGGGCTTACTTCTCTATCACTAGTATTTTGGATAAAAACATTTTACTATATTTGCAATGTCATTCTCTAATAATTAAGGTATAGCAATTTTTTTTTAAAAAAAAGTATCAATAATTTATGATTTTTATTACATTCTTTTCCGATTTATAATTGAACAATCAAATCCCATTTTTCATAATTAATTTCAAAGAAGCCGTAATATTTAATATATCCCACTTTTACCCATTTTTTTTTTTAGTGTTAATTGCAAAATTGACAATCTTATCTTTACTCAACTAGATCAGAGACTTCAAACTAATTTAAGTTATAAGCACTTTCACTTAAAATCATCTCCATATGACTTTTCAATTTCACAAAAATCCAAATCGAACTTGAACTCAACTATGCAGCAAATCTTGAACTTAGAAATATACATAAGAAAATACAACCAATTTTTCACCAATAAATCTTAAACCATAAATTTGAGTGCCTGCCCCAACCCAAAACACGTACACTTAAAGAATTCAAAGAGAATTATGAGACAATGGGTGTAGAAAGAAAGGTGAGGGGGGAACCACCCCTTTTGAGTGTTTTTTTTTTTTGGGGGATTATTTGATTAATAGAGGACAATGACAATTTTGTAATTAACACTTAAAACTAAAAAGGGTAAAAATGAGATATAGTAAAAAGTAGGGCTTTTTTGGACTTAATATGACTAAATGGTTTTTTTGGGGACTCAATGGGTTTTTTTTCCAAATTAAAAAAAAAAAAAATTTAAGGAGCGTGTTCTTCACTCCTTTGAACATCGTGGTGGGCCTAATAATTTTTCAGGACTACTATTTAGTATTCACGCCCCATCTATTTTAACTACAACTTGCCATAGTGATTCTAATCCAACGGTCAACATGCAATCACTTTTAACTTGACCGTTAAAAAAGATATGAGAGTCCACAATAAGGATCTATGTTGCCCAATCCTGTCTCTGGAACGAGCAACTCCAACCATTGGATCATTTCAATGATGTTAACGTCTAGGTGACGCTAGAGAATGTGGGTCCAACCATCAAGACTTTGAGAGTATTATGATCAAAGCAATGCACGTGTAACCATGATAATGGTC